TTTAAGCGGAATTTAACACGTGGAAAGATTTATTACCGAACATTTTGTGAAAGACCCTTCAATTTCAACAAGAATTTAGTGAATCACACATTCTCAATGTAAGGTAAATTGATAAAAATCGATGTATATATATATTTTATATAATAATAATTTTATATAATATTATATTTATATATATATATAATATTATATATATAATATTATATATATATTATATAAATAATATATAATATATATTATATAATGTTATAATATATATTATTATTTATTATTTATTTTATTTCAGCCTAATGGCCTAGAAATACATCATTATACCAATCATACCTTAAACCTACTTTATGTTATAATATTTATATATATATATATATAATATAATAATTTATATATAGTTAAACATGATCAAATTTTGATAAATTTGAAACAAAATAAGATATTCAAAATTATTAGTGAGTTCATAATTATAATGCAAACCGAAATTGTAGAAAAACGATCATGTGATTAATGAAAACTTAAGACCCCCTTAAGATTCTGTTAAAAAACGCTTGTTACTAATTACCCCTGTTACTGATAGCCTCTAGCTGAATTAATTCGATTTCATGTTGTATTAGTTTAAACATAATACTTTAAAAAAAATAATTTACATTATTAAAATAAATATAGATATTCAAATATAATTTATAACAATTGCAAAGCTCTTACCATTTTTTTTATTATATAAAACAAATATTTTGTAACTAATTTGCTTTATTATTACAAAAGTATTTACGAGCGTCGTCATTATTTTATTCAATGAAATGTTAATAATACGATACTCGTATATATTATAAAAACAAATATAAAAAATTTGATACATCTTGATATTTACGTCTAATTACCATAATTATAATACATTAAAATTACAGTCTTCTACTATTTTATTATTTACTATTTTTTCCTTTACATTTGAGAATTTTTCTTCTCTCTGAGAAAGATATCTATAGATGTGCGACAAGGTAAAGCCTTTAAGACCACATCGAGAAAAACTACTTTTCCAAAACTGAGCGTTTATCTCCTCAGAATATTTTAACGTGTCAACAATGGTAAATAAAATTTATTGAACATTGAATTCAATGGAATAAATAAAGTTGCAATGAGAAAAGGGATATTTTGGTTAAAAATAGCAATTACTATCATTTTTATTTAAGTAACTTCAAATAAATCAAAACAATAAAATCAAATAAAAAAAACACACACATACATAATTTTTTTCTAAGGTATGCCAAAATGTTCAGAAACATCTGAAACGTAAAGGTATATAAAAATTTTCATTTTCGATTTTTTTGTGATCACTATAACTTACCCTACGGGAAGTTAATAATAAGGTATATGAATATAAGAAGAATAAATCGAAGTTTTCGCAGCATAACCTTAAATCTTTGTATTTATGTTTATATTGTTTATAAGTGTTCAAATAACATTCTCAAGTGTTCATAAAATTACAAATGTTGAACTTTTCTATTATCGTAACAACATATGGCCGTGGGAAAAGTTTTGGACGAGAAACTTATCATTTCGAAAAAGCTAGGAAAGTTCTGTTCGAGAACTTTGGAACACGTGTGCTCATAATTCTTTTACGAAGCAATAAAATCATCTTTGAGAGTTCTTCGAAATTGGTTTAGGAGAATGAATTATGTTCACAATAACTGTAAATTGATAAATATACAAACATTGCAAGTGAAACAAATAGTTCACTTAATGAATGTCAATTAGCCATTATCAATTACCATTCCATCGTAAATTATCAACAAAGAGCCTAAAAATTCTTGCACTGACGGATAGAATTTTCTATTTTCTATATTTCACCACAGTCAGCAAAATGTCAATTTGTCGAAAGTGGTCTTAAATAGAAAGATAGTTCATTTTTTTTGAAAAATTTACAGAATAAATCAGATTCCAAGCAGATAGAACCTCAAACAAAAAGTAGGTGAGTTACTATTTAGCCAAAAATATAGACAATTAATTCATTGATTATGGATTAATCTTTTTTGTCGAATATTTAATTACGGTACGGGAAGTTCCACCAATTTGCCTTAAGGCACGATACCATGCACCACAAGTTTATATTTATATCGGAATTTCTATGCACAAAAATACGACGGAAGTTCTTGGAATATTTATTATGTTCGTAACGGAATACAAAACAAATATTATCATTCGAATATTTGAACATGTATATATACATATGTATATACATATATGCGTATATATGTATAACCTATCAATCTCTATTTATATTTATATTTGTGTGTTAAAATAAATGTTTATAAAAGATACGGCTTCATGCATACGATTTTTTGCTTCTTGTAAATATTAGAATAAAAATGGATTGTTTTTGTTATTTGAATAAAAGGAAGGTATATATAGATATTTTTATGAACAGGAAAACATCATTGATATGATATAAATATAAAAGAGGTAAAATCAATCGCATTCGTAATATTAAAATAATATCGAAAAGTACATATATTTATTTCAAACAAACAAGATGTTATCGAAGGAGCAACTTTTTTATTTTGTGTAATACTTTAGATGTATAACTTTTACTAGTTTTTGTATAATTTTTTATGCTTAGTTATATATTATTTTTATTTATTTGAACTTTCTCTAAATTTTTCATTGATGATTTGAAATATTGTTTTTTTTTAATAATTAATAAAATAATTATTAGCCTCGCTTACTTAGAGAATTTAGCCATCTACAATATTTCATTTTTAAATTCTATACTCCATATATGTTCTTTACTATCTTTATATATTGTACAATCTACACTATCCTGTACATGTTCTATACTATTTTCTTTAATTCTGTTTTATTCAAGTTTTTTTCTGCTCTTCAAAACTGATTTTTCCATTCTTTTTTCTTATAAATCTGATTTTCTCGGATTCTAAACTTGCTTTTCTTCTTACTTCTAATTATTTATTCAAATTCTACACAAAAAATCAAATTTCATTTAATTTTGTATTAACTATATTTTTTAAATTCTACGTGGATGGCAGGATTTTGATCCGAAGATCGCTGTAGTGTGAGTCGGACACGTTACTGAGTGAGCTATGCTCTCCACATTAGTTATTTTATATTGCGTTCACTCTCATGTTTATAATGTCTCTAATTTAGGGTTCGACAAATAACTTCTTTTTAGAAAAGCAATAAAAATCTACTAGATATTTTTCCAAATTTTCTAATTTTTTTTTTTATTTGAAAATCCTTCCGGTTAAAAATGGCTACCTCGGTTGCCGATCAAAAATTGAGAAAAAAAAACCGTTAGATGGCGGACCCTTTAAACAGCATTTTAAACTTTTTAAGCAATTTTCATTTTTTATTGAAATTTTATAATTTCAATTTTTTGAAATTTTAAAGATTTTATAATTGAAGTATATATTTCATTTTCACTTCACATTTGTTGACTTTTATCATTTATTTTTTTATTTCTCAATAAATGAAATCAATATGTTTGAATTGTTTAATAAATAAAATATATATCAATAGTTTGCTTTATGCTTTGACTTGCCATTTTTATCACATGTGGTTTCAAAGACTATATATAAATATTAGAATGATTGATAACAATTAATTGATTAGTAAATAATTTACATTTATTTAATTATTTTCATAAAACTATACCCATAAACTGTGCTGCGATCTTACAATGTTCTAGTAATTGCTTGCAAGATCTCAGACTCTAATCAGCTTAGAAACACTACCTAACTGTAAAAAGCTCTAGCCGAGATTGAAACCGAGCTTTATGTATTTCTCGAACTTTTACCAAAAACACAATGCATGTGTAATAGATGTTCAGAGATGCTTCAAAAAGTATATTTAAAAAGGAAATATTATTAAAAATTATTGTTAAATTCATATAGCTTCAAAAATTATTGTTATTCTCTAAAAAGTCGTATTTTGGATTTATACGCCTCCAGATACAGAGTGCAATATTTTTAATTTTATTTATTAACTCATTTTAAAATGCCAAAATTCGAAAATAACTATAAAAAAGAAGCACAAATGTTACTTTGCCATTACATTAATTTTAATTGTTCACGCGCTCCATAGAAGCGCCACACTATGTAGCACGTAAATTTACCCCAAGGTTCAATTTGTGGGAATCAAGTGAGTTAGTGGTGAATTTGTGAGAAACAAATGGTCATGACATTTCGTAAAGTTTTATAATTAACGACACTTATTTTAATAATTAAAATAAATTAAATTTAATGTTTTTATACATGAAAATATTTTTTTATTTATTTAATTATTTCCATAAATTCTAGATAACAATTATATAAATATAGAAATGGTAAACCTGATTGATTGGAAAAAATGACATGAGAAAAATAAATATATACGCGTATAAAATATAATTTCAACTGAATCACAAATATTTTATCACAAAAATGAATAATGAAAACGATTTTCCATTAAAAAGTAATTATTTGATACACAGTGAGTATATCATCTATTGGGTGCGATCAACTCTAAAGCAGGGTAAAGGACATTTGTTCTAGGTTTGCGCCTCATGACAATAACATTCAATTAAAATAGTTTTGACTTAAATTGAGTATAAAAACTGTCAATACGTTCGATATGAACAATTTTTTTTTCAACAAAAATGTCTATTTTATATTTGCAATAATTGAGCTCGTGAATATTTGAGTCATTCTAACATTAAAATGAAATTTATATTTGTGCCTAAACTTAAGTAAAACAAAAAATATAATTATAATTATTATCTTTGTTATACAGCTCTCGGAAAACAGCCAATAATTACTTTAATAATTATCTAGAAATAATGTACGAGATAATTTTTAGATTATACAATATAACATTATCCAATCCCTAAAATTGATAGCTGATAAATCCCAGTATGCGCAAATTTGACAAACTCCTATAAAACAAAATTTTTGTCATCACTCAAAAATGAACATCTTTTAATTATTTTTAATTTTTATAAATTTTTATCATTCACAATGGCCAAAAGTCAGACCCCAGCCGTCGGTATTGATCTGGGGACGACTTATTCCTGCGTAGGAGTTTTCCAGCATGGCAAGGTTGACATTATAGCAAATGATCAGGGAAACAGGACGACTCCAAGTTATGTTGCCTTCACCGATACCGAAAGGTTGATCGGTGATGCTGCCAAAAACCAAGTTGCTATAAATCCTACGAACACCATTTTTGGTAAGAGAAAAGACGTAATAAGGAGTAGTAATTTATAGTAATTAGTAGAATAGAGTAGGGTATGAGGTGAAGAGTCGGGTCTGATAATGAATGCGAATGCCCTTGTACATTCTTTATGGAGACATCTATTTTTATTGTCAACATTCAAAGATAAAAAATTTTCTTCTTAAGATACCAATAAACTTTGCTATTTTACTATTTGCCAACTCATTATTTGGAACTTGTTCTCTCCAGAAAAACAATGCAAAACTGTCTTCTTTTATTCGTGATGGAAATTTTACCATAGATAATATTTGATCATTATATTTCTTTTAGACGCCAAACGTTTAATTGGTCGCCGTTACGATGATGCCTCAGTTCAAAGCGATATGAAACTTTGGCCTTTCGCGGTGGTAAATGACAAAGGAAAACCTAAAATAAAGGTAACTTATAAAAATGAAGTCAAGACATTTTTTCCTGAAGAAGTTTCATCAATGGTTTTGGCTAAAATGAAGGAGACGGCTGAAGGGTATTTAGGAGTTGTGGTAAGTATAATGATGATAGAGTTATAATTTTAGAAACAGTTTTTTCTCCTGGCGATTAGAATTTTCCAAAAGCATTTTCTTTTGATATTAGGTAATATATTTTTCTTTTTAGGTAAGCAATGCGGTAATAACAGTTCCGGCTTATTTCAACGATTCCCAAAGACAGGCGACAAAAGATGCAGGAGCTATTTCGGGCTTGAACGTTTTGCGAATAATCAACGAACCTACTGCTGCAGCAATTGCTTACGGATTGGACAAAAAAGTGAATCCTGAAAAAGATCAAAAAATATATGATATATTAATACAATATTTACATTTTAGGGTAGCGGTGAAATAAACGTCCTTATTTTCGATCTTGGCGGTGGCACGTTCGATGTATCAATTCTCACTATCGAAGATGGCATATTTGAGGTAAAGTCCACGGCAGGAGATACCCACCTGGGCGGTGAAGATTTTGACAGTCGTATGGTTAATTATTTTGCACAAGAGTTTCTGAAAAAATACAAAAAAAATATTATAGAAAACAAAAGATCTATTAGGCGGCTCAGGACAGCTTGCGAAAGAGCAAAACGGACTCTGTCCTCTGCCACACAGGTGAAAAAATCACAACTGTTTTATACCAAATTAAGGATTTGATTCATCATTGTTCTAGGCCAATGTTGAAATAGATTCGTTATTTGAGGGTATCGACTTCTACACAGTCATTACTCGTGCAAGATTCGAGGAACTGAACGCGGATTTGTTCAGAAAAACGATGGAACCTGTGGAAAAGGCACTTCGAGATGCCGGAATGGATAGATCGAAAATACATGAAGTCGTTTTGGTAAAAAATATGTTATTAATACAAAATATAACTAGTAGTGTCTTGAGGCTGGATGAGGCAAATTGCTGGAACTTCCCGTACCGGAATAAAATTCTGAAAATCTGATATTTTTCGATATTTCAATTTTTTTTTAATTTTTTTTCCAAATTTTTTTGATTTGTAGCTTTTGTTTATTATTATAGTATCTTTAAAAAAGTTTGTCTAAAATAAATGAAATATTGAGCAATTTTTATTAAATTAAATAAACTATTTTTTTTTCAAAAGCTCAATGGTTCTTGTAAATTGTAAAATTGCAACTTGTAAATTGTGTTTAAACAACTTTTGCAACATTTTATATTGCTTATAACTTGTAAACCGTTTGTGCAAATTCAATAGAATATTTAGCGTTTTAGTATATTATTTAGCAACCTTAAAATTTTTCTAAGAATCCAAAGTTTTATAGCAACCAAGTAAATTTTAATATCGGAATTGAAACAGAAGTTTATTCTCTCAGGTCGGTGGTTCCACACGTATTCCTCGTGTTCAGAAATTATTGCAAGATTTTTTCGCCGGAAAAGAATTGAATAAATCTATAAACCCAGATGAAGCAGTAGCTTATGGTGCTGCTGTACAAGCAGCTATTTTACATGGAGATACTTCCGAAACGGTAATAATAGTTACAAACTCTAGATCCACTTTACCAATGTAGATATTCATTCTTTTCCTAGGTGCGAGATCTTCTACTTTTGGACGTAACGCCATTATCCTTGGGCATAGAAACTGCAGGTGGTATAATGAGCGTCTTGATAAAACGCAACACCACGATTCCTACCAAGCAAACCCAAACCTTTACGACTTATGCAGATAATCAACCAGGCGTACTGATCCAGGTGAGGACAATTTGTAAAAAATTAAAATTTCTTTAATTTGTAAAATTCTGTGGCAGGTTTATGAAGGAGAAAGGGCCATGACGAAAGATAACAATATTTTGGGGAAATTTGAACTATCTGGGATTCCGCCGGCACCTCGAGGAATACCACAAGTAATTAAAAGTCGAAAGTTATCATATGTAATGAAGTTGTTTATTATACTTGTACATTATCAGGTGGAAGTTACCTTCGATATCGACGCCAATGGTATTCTGAATGTTACGGGTAAAGAAAAATCAACTGGAAAACAAAGTAAAATCACAATCACCAATGATAAAGGCCGTTTGAGCAAAGAAGACATTGAAAGAATGATAAGCGAAGCAGAAAAATTCAAAGATCAGGACGAGCTCCAACGTGATACAATTGCTGCCAAAAACACCTTGGAATCTTACTGTTTCAACATGAAGAACACCGTCGCAGACGATGGGGCAACTGCTGACAAATTAACAAAGGATGAAAAACAAAATATTTTGCACAAGTATATCTACATATATATATATATATATATATATATATATATATATATTAGGGTGGTCCTTAAAATGGTCATTTTCGAATTTCCTTGCTCCCAGGGGCTCAAATGGTTCCAAATTGATAAAAAACAATTCTCTGAAAGTTTTAGCTCTTAATATTAACGTTTAGATAGAGCGCAATTCAATCAAAGTTTGTATGGAAAGAGCATGGAAAAAATTTTGAAAATATAAAAAAAATGTGTTAGGTATAACTTAGCGACAAATGAATGAGTTTTATTCATTCAATTGTTCGCTAAATTACATCTAAAAAGCATTTTTAAAAATTTTGAAAATTTTTCCATGCTATCTCCATACAAAACTTTGATTGAATTGCGCTCTATCTAAACGTTAATATTAAGAGCTAAAACTTTCAGAGAATTGTTTTTTACCTATTTGAAACCATTTGAGCCCCTGGGAGCAAGGAAATTCGAAAATGATCATTTTAAGGACCACCCTAATATATATATATATATATATATATATATATATATATATATAAATAAGTCGGGTTTTCCTTCCTGACAATATAACTCCAGAACGCACGAACCGATTTCGACAATTTTGCATTCGTTAGAAAGGTCTCGGGCCCCGCAAGGTTTATAGCTAAGAACATTAGTGGTGCATGGCATCGTGTTTTAATGCAAATTGCTGGAACTTCACGCAACGTAATTAAAAATTCGAGTAATGACAGTAGTGATAATTATCAGAATTATGCTCGGTTAAGTCAACGAGCAATTCTTGCCGCAAACAATAATGATGTACACGCACTAAATTTCACCATTCAATCAAAAATTGCTGGCGATTTGGTGACATACCAATGATTCCGACTGGTCTGTTTGACTTCAAACGATTGCAATTTCCAGTTCGCCTTGCGTTCGCAATGACATGTCGCAAGGCCAATCGCTTAGTGTTTGCGGGATAAATTTCAAATAGATTATTCAGAAAATCATTGTTTTTCACATGGGCAGTTATACGTTGCCTGATCACGAGTTGGGAAACCATCCGCTTTGTTTGTGTTAACGTCAGACCAAAAAACAAAAAATGTGGTTTACCAAAGAGCACTTTAATGAAACGGATAATTTGCAGATTCACTTTCATTTACTTAGAGAAGTTCAACTAACAAACACTTCATTTTTGTAATCGAAATAAAATCATTACTGTTGTGTAATAAAATCAAATTTTTTGTTTTCAAATTTCAAAAAATTTCTTCGTCTTTTCACGAAACCATCTGGTCACGAAACGGAATTCGTCGGGCTTGCTAGTATTTAATAAAATAATAAATATACACAAATATCTATTACAACATCATCTATTTTCAGATGTGAGGAGACCATCCAATGGTTGGACGCCCATGCCCGTGCCACAAAAGGAGAATACGAGGCCAAATTGAAAGAATTGGAAAAAATATGTGGACCAGCCCTTACCAAATTGTACGGAACCAGTTCTATGCCTGGTGTCAACATACCAGCTGCAGGAGGACCCACAGTCGAGGAGGTCGACTAATAAAATTGCCTAAACAGAGAATTCCAGAGAGTGATTCTGGTTGCGGAATTTCCCTGCGCATTTGTATCCCGTTAGTGAAGTAAAATTTTGTAAATGTGTAGAAATAAATTTTGTTTTTGGGAGTTTTAAAACTAATTTTCATGAGAATAATTAAATGATATATATATATATATATATATATAAAAAAATATTAAATAATATAATTGCATAAAAATTTATATGATTTGAAGTCTGAATTAGCCTCATTATGAGTCTGATTTTCAATTGCAACTTATGAGAAGATTGATCCAGTATATTTTACGGGTAGGCAATATTATAGATAAATTAATTTATTAAAGAAAATATTATTTAAAACTTTCATATTAATTAAATAGCTCTGAAAGTAAACAAGCCATATTAAAAATGCAGAACATGTTTAGAACAAAGGATGTTCCAAAATTGAAACATTTTTTAAAAGTTTTAAAAGTAGTTTTAATAGTAGGTATATATATATATATATATAATTATATATATACAAATATATATATATATATATATATATATATATATATATATATATATGTTGTTATAATCATTTATCTCTTACACCGAGTTGAGTGTTTTAATAAAAAGTATAAAATTGCCTCCTCCTTATCAAGTCTTCATATTTCTTCTCAGCCTGCAATGTTGTGTGCAATTTACTTAAATGATAATGATAATGATAATAAAAAATTACTTTTTGCATTCAGTTAAATATCTAATAAAATATTTCATATCTATTTAATCGCAGATTTAATCTTTGGTGGGAATTAAAATATACACTCAGTAGTTTTAAGAGTTAATTCAATATTTTTTATGTATATTTTTTCTGAAGTGTATCACTTTATATATCCGCTTTATTTTTAGGGCTATTTTATTAATATTTTTTCTGCGTTTGGTTTGGCTAATTTTTATAAAAACTGGTGGTATATGGCATCGTGCCTCAAACTGCTGGAACTTCCCGTAACGCAACAAAATATTGAGGAATATTGAATGTTTTCAAATAGATTATTATAAATACTGTTACATTGTCTAATATTCATAAAGAATAGAAAAACTGAATTACAAAGTTGAAATTATTTGTTTAAAGTATATTAGAATTATAGTCAGAATTAAAAATAAAATCTGAATTATTTTCGATATACAAAAAAAACTAAAAAAAAAATTATTCAAATTTTTTTTCCAAAATCAATTATTGTGTTAAAACAAGCTGAAAGTTCTTTGAATCATTTGAATTGGACGCTTAGTTCTCTCAAAAACTGCCATTTTTTGCATATTTAGCTCTGTATCTTCGAAATGGCTGGGCCTGCCATTGCGAAAAACTAATAATCACTTCTCCCAATCATTACTAATTGAATGTTTTTTAGATCATTCAAATCGGATGCACCGTTCACTCAAAAACTCGATTTCTATTTTCTGCACTCTTTGCTTCGTATCTCCGTAACGGCTGGACCGGCCTTTGCCAAAAACTAATCAGCTCTTCTCCCTATCAATAGGAATCGAATGTTTTTTAAACCATTCATATCGATTGATCCGTGCGCCAGAAAACGTGACTGGAAATTTGTATCCATACATACATACACACACACACACATCCATTTTTTCTAAGGTATGCCAAAATGTTCAGAAACCTTCAAAACGTCGAGAAATGTAAAAATCTTCAATTTCGATTTTCGGTCCATTGCAATAACTTACCCTACGGGAATTTAATAATGGGCTTTGGGTATTTTCAATACAAATTAAATGTTTACTGAAGATTTGTTCTAAAGTATGCCAGAATGATCAGAATATCTGGGACTTTTAAAAATTCTGTAAAAATGAAAACATGTTCGTATCAATATCCGATAAATATTTAATAATTTTTATTGAACTCAATATCAAAATATCTCAATAAGATCAACGTCAATCTTCAGGTGGCCGAGCACAATTAAGGTCAAACATCCAAAGTTAACACTATTCCAAATAATAATACATTAAACATTTTAATTCGATCAAACATCTTCATAGGTAATCATCCTTAACAGTTGTCTCGAATTTCTTTCCACATTCTTACAACTGCTACAAGAGAATTAACAAATATCATCTTCAGGTAACTTTGTATTAAGGTTCTCGCTGACACTTTGACCAAGATCCAAAACCAAAATATTTATACTTCACTATTATCAATACAAAATCTACATTTCATCAAACATCCTCATATGAAATCACATCTTCATCATCATCATCCTTCAGTAGTTGCAGTAACTCCTTTTCCCGATCCTTCAACTCTGCCACGTAGGCGTCGACCACCAGCATGAAATGGAATGTGAAAAAGGGCGGCAGGAAAAACTCGAATAAAAATAAAAAAAATCTTGGTTCACCATTTGGATCGGGTTGAAAATAGATCAGTTCTTCGGGAGTACCGTCCATGAAGTAGACTTGCAGAGCAGATTTGATGTAAAATATGGAAAGCAGCATGATGTTAATTATAATCCAGGCGGTAAGGAATCTGGTCTTGCTGGCGCAGTATCCGTAGGTCAGGAAGGCAACGGCTAGGATTTCTAGGAAGAACGTTGTCACGTCAAAAGTGAGAAGTAATATCTGTATGAAGATAATTATTGTTTAGTCCTATTTATTGTTTTGCACTAATTTGTATAAAAAATAATTGAAGTAATGGAAGCGAGATGTGAGACAACTATGTTCAAAATTTTTTGTATCACCATAAGGCAACTCAAACCATCATATAAAATCAGAATGGAATACAAAACGTAATCCTGGTTGAAACATTAGTTATGAGAATTGTCAATTAAGCTAGTTTTTTTTTAATTACAATATTTATTAAATAAACTTAAATTAAAGGATAGAATTTACATTAAAATGATATCCGTAGTATGATGATTTAATATAATGTAAAAGCAAATAATAATAAAAATAAAATTAATAAATAAATAAAATAAAATTTCTGTATAATAAAATAATACTAGAGAAACAATAAAATATAAAAAAATAACAATATTATAAATAATAAGATAATAATAATAAGCTAAAGTATTGACAAAACAGTTTTATTTAAATTCTCCTATATATTGGGGAGAAAATTGAAAAAACTGCAAATACGACCTGATGATATGCACCAAAATTTTTGGCAAATTTTTATGAATGTTTTTTTGACTCGGATTGAGCTTATAAATACAAAGTCTGTTAAAGTATAGAAGGAGGTTCCAGCATTTATTATATAACTTGTCAATTGTGCAAGAATAACGACAAAAAGCTTATATTTCCAAACTTATCTATTGGAAAAAATAATCATATTTTATAAATATGGTAATATGATGGCATCATATATCGCATACAAATCTCATTGAATTTGCTTCAAAATACCAAATGTTATGGAAAATCGTGCATTTATCATAATTATACATTAATTAATGTTGATGATAATACATATTTTATGGTCGTTTTATGTAATGGTCGTTTATACGAAAGTTTTTGAAATAATCCAATTTTTTTTACCGAATTGATTGATCCAGAAAATCTTGTTACTGAATCAACAAACATGAGTCCATAAAGATTCAAGAACATAAGTTCCCAAAATGTTATAAGGTATACGCCGACATCCAGTTTTATGAAAAGGAAGCAGGTATGGACTCTTATGCAGAACATTCTTATTTTTTATTATTTGTTGCTTTGTTAAATTTTTATTATTTATTGCTTTGTATTATTTTTCAATGACATAAGTTAACAATTCATGATAGCGATTTAATAAACAAATGAAATGCGGTCACATGCTTATGTATTTATTTACTTCAATATTTAATTAATAATTTAAATATTTACACAAATAATTTATATATTTATTTTTGTATTCTCACACATGAACTTGTTGAATTGTATTTATTGTGACTAAAAATTAATGATAAATAAGAAAAAAATGAAAGATATTAATTAATTTGTATATATATATATATATATATATATATGTATACATACATTTATGTACTCAATTATATAATTATTTATTTAGATTTTTATTTACTGATTTATTTATTTATTCATTTGTTCATTTATTTGTTTCTTCATTTAATCATTAATTTATCACATATTCATTTACTCATTTATTTCTTTATTCGCTTATTTATTTATTTATGTATTCATTTTTTTAATTTTTCATTTACTCATTTATTTACTTATTCATTTATTAATTTATTCATTTGTTCATTTATTCATTCATTTGTCACATATTCATTTACTCATTTATTTCTTTATTCGCTCATTCCTTTTTTTTTAATTTTATTTTCAATAGCAATCAGAATACATGATACTATTTATTTTTGTATTCATTTTTCATTAATTTGTTATTTACTCATTTATTTATTTATTCATTTATTTGTTTCTTTATTTAATCATTCATTCGATAATTATTTACCAATTTATTTATTAATTCATTTGTTCAATTATTCATTTCATTATTTATTCATTCATTAGTAACATTAATTTATTTTTTACATATTTATTTATTTATTTTTCGTTTATTTACATGATCATGAAATTAAGCATTTATTTATTTATTTTATTTATTTCCATGTATTTATCTCATTTACATAAACAAAATTTATATCAATAATTGATTTTTCATTAAAATTCATTACATTTTTTAAATTTTTTTGTGCTTTTTTATATGCTAAATTCATGCAAAAATTATTTGTAATAAATTAATGTGAAAAAAATACAAAACACTACAACTTTATTTTACAGTTTTAAAACTAGCAGTACAGTTGAAAATTCTCTGTTAAATTATTTGCAGTTTACTTAAAAAATCACGAATGTTCACATTTTTTTACGATATTTGTGAACATATAAAAAATATGATAAATGTTATGTATTTTATCTAACTCAATGTTAACTATTAACACTTCGATATTAATCTATTCGATTTTTTTCAAATCGTTTAAATAAAGACACATAGCAGTGCTGTCCAAGGTAAAAAAATTATAGAATAAAAA